TATCAATTGATTTATTTCATTCAATTATGTAAAGATTATCCAATTGTGTATGATATTATTTGGAAACTTTCATTTCATTCGGATATTCTCGATCAATTAATTACACGACATGATGATTTTCTTAAACAATTGCCAACATTACCCGCTGCACAAGGTATTTTACAAAATGTTCAAATAAAAAATTCATGTCGTTCTCCGTTAACAAATGGAGTATCATATGATATTAGTCTTATTTCATCTTCGAAAGATCATTTTATTGTTAAAAAAATTGAAGAAGATCTTTTAAAACATAATTTTCATATTGGAACAACATTGAATTCTTCCTGTATTCTTCTTTGTGTAAGTGAAGAATCAAAACATGATTCTACATGTCAAGCAGCAATTCGACAAGCTGTACTTGATTGTAAAAAAATTATTCTATGTATTGTACGAAATCCATATCGTATTGATGATTGGTTTAATACATTGAATATTCAAGAAAGAAAATCTCTCAATGTAATTACATCGAGTATTGAAAAAATTTTACCTGAAATTGAAAAAAATTGCCGTACTAATCATCATTTACCAGCAATTACAAAACGAACTCGAATTGTTTCACCTCCTTCGTCTCATCGAACATCTCAAGAAACGTTTACATTATCTCCTGCACCACAACATTCACCCGTTGAAATATTATCAATGGTACCGATTAAAAAAATTCAAAATTGGACCAATCAAGAAGTAATTACATGGTGTGATAATAATAAATTAAATGCTTTTAGTAAAATTTTAACACATTATGATGGTCGAAATTTACTTGCACTTGCGCATGTTTCTCGAATGAGTGCACCACATACAATTATAAATCAACTAAGAAATGATTGTCGTAAACAAGGTCTTAGATTATCATTCGTTGAATTCGTACGATTTCAAGCAGCACTTGATGAACTTCTTCGTTTAGAACGAAATATATTAAGAAAACAATCAATATCAACATTAGCTAATCGTTATGTTTACAAAGGAAAAATAGCACAACAAACATAATTGACTTTTTTTTATTATTCAAATAATAGTTATTGTAAAATCGATTAATATTAGTAAACTAACTGGACCTTTAAATAATATTTCATAAGAAGTTTTTTCTAGTTTTTCTCTTGGTATACCAACTAGTTTATATCTTCCCTCATTATCATTTATTAAATAAATACCATTAGGAAGTGATCGACGTAAACAAGGATTCCAAAGATAACGAACATGTTCATCATTAATTTTATCAATAATATCATAAGAAATATTTGATTGATTTATTTTAGCTATTAAATCAGATTGATTTGTTGATAAACCGTAATGTTTACTATATAGATGAGATAAACAATTCGATTGAAAAAATTGTTCACAAGTATTACATGGTGGACAACAGTCGCATAAACATGAATTATTTAATTCATAAGGACTGCATAGAATTCCATTTGTAGTACAACTATTTGATCCATAACATCCACAAGAAAAAATATAATGAAAATTACAAATAAAAATAAGACATATAAAAACGAACATTATAATGATAATATTTATCAAAATGATTCGTTTTTGTTATTTGAGATAAGAAAAGAAAAGGATTAACATGACATCACCCACCTATTTAGTTGACATTTAATCGTTTGAATATGTACTGGTAGATTAAAACAAGATAATATTACTTATGAGTTGACATCAAATTTATACAAATATTTTCAATCGGATGGCGTAAGATATTTATGGATACATATTCTAAAAGACTATATCAAAATAAAAAAATTTAGTCAATTAAATGAATGAATTTATCATTATAAACATTACTATTATCATAGAAAATATTTCATTTATATTTTATAAATGATATTCATTTAGATATTATATAGAAAAAAGTATATAATATGTATATATATTCTATTTCATGGTTATGAAAAATATCTGATTTCAAAAAAAAACTATTTGAATCATTTTAAAGATGCACTTAAAATGAACACGAAACTATTTTCTTTACACAAGTCAAGGTTACATTAGAAGGTAATTTGTATGTCTGTTTATCTGTCATTTTGGTCGACTCGTACTCTTCTGTAGGTTGTATGTCATATTTATAGTATAACTAATAAAGTCACAGAGAAAACAAAGAGATGTATTGGCCTTCGCAACCCTATCAATTCTATGGTCG